CTTGTTGATGCAACGAGAATGTCACCTATATAAAATAAACGCATTCTAAATCTCTACACACCTCGTGCACAAAACGCTGGAATGTCTGTGCAGCGTTGCACAATCAAAGGGAAATTCAAAGTTTCCGATGGGCGTTGATATTGCTGTCTTCTTTATATCTTCTTCGGCCACTGTAATGTGATGATAAGCTTTAACCAAATCAATATTGCTAAAAATATTATTACCATCAAGCAATGCACCAAAATCATAAATGTGTGGAACTGCGGAACGGTCAGGAACTGTGCGAGCATTTAAACCTCGGTAATCATCATATGGACGACACTCTCCATTGGACTAGCCCAACTGCTATTTGAAGGACGGTATGTACCAAGATCAATCATTTCCCCGAATTCTTTTTTACAATTTGTAGTTTTTCGTGTGGAAGGCGTGCGGGTTTACAACAAATGGGTGGACCTTCGGTTGTTTTGATATAATTCTGAACTGCATGTTTTGCTACAGACTTGAAACACATTTTTATCAAATCGATGAATTCCCGAAGCAGTGACGTGTATTTCGATGAGTCTGAAATACATTTAATCGTAGAATCGAGTACACACACTTGCAATTGAACCATTGCATCTCCGATTGGTGTTGGGGTCAATAAGGCTATTATTTTTTATATCAATAAGTAGACCACATTTATCCAAAAAATCTGATCCGATGATTGGCTTTTGAACATCAGCAACTACGAAGTTCCATGTAAATAATCGGTTCAATCCCAAACCTATTGAGAGTTTTTATGCTATATGTTCTGATAGTTGTTTGGTTTGCGGCATACAAAACAAGTTGACTGGGAAGTTTTTTGCTCATTAATTTTGACACAGGATACACCGTTAAATCTGCTCCGGTATCCACTAAATACCTGGTTTTCGATTTGATGTCTCGAACAAACAGGCGACATACTTCTTGGGCACACTCATCCGTCACCAAAACCGGTGTTCCATTTAGTTTTCCGAAGTTCTCCGAAGTCTAAAAATTGCATAGGGGAAACCCTTTTTCGTTGGAATCCTTACCTTGAGATAACGATCGTATTTCTGATAGCAATTCTGAAGGGCTTTTGTCTCCAAACTCGATGTTCGCCAATAGTTTCTTCAGACGCTTCACCTCTAAATCCGTGAATCCGCTTATTGTACATATTTTCAGCCGGAGGATTAACTACTATGTCTGATACCTTTTCCAATATTGCTTTCAATTGACGTGACAATCGTGTGGAATTTTATTGAATCCTGTGTAACGCCAACCAACCACAGTATCGAATCGGAACGCCAAAATGGTGGAACTTTCACCGCTATTTGCGAAACTTCCATTGATGATGTAGCATTTCTTGCGTCTGTAGCCATTAACATTTCTTATGTTGAATGTGACCAATTTGAGTCTTTAGATTATCGTATTGGTATTCTTTGTCTGGGGATACCAATTTGTTGGTAAATAAAGTTTTATAAAAAGGTTGCTGTTTAGAAATGAAAATTGTTTTTGTTGTCAGAAAAAAAATTTTTAAATCAATGCTAACTTGATGAAAATAGAAAATTGGAAAATCAAAGCCAACTTGATGAAATAAAAATTAAATTTATAAAGTAAATAATAAAGTATTTTCAAGACGCTACAGTACTATGAAGAGGAACCAAGGAAGAAATATTCGTTTACAAATCCTTTGGAAATTCAAATGTTTTCGTAAATGTCAAAGCTCACCATGATTCTCCAACAACTAAAGCAATCAGGGGAATGTCAATTTTCATTGAATTGTACTGAAAGAAAAACATTCAGACACCCACGCATGAAATTTATGGAACATCACATGCTATGTAAATCTGCAACGAATATTCTCCTCACTCTACTAAAGACATCTTTCGCGGAGCTATTCCTTCAAATCAGTCAACTCCCAGCAACGAATCTAGACCTTTTGGTCCTCCTGTAAAGGCAAGTCGAAATAATGGTGATGCTTATCTTGATAGCATATTCTTACCCCTTTTCAATTTTGAAATTCAAATGCTGAAAGAAAATTTTGGAGACTCGCTCGACGAACAACAAAAGCAAGAACTCGACAACATTCTGATCAGCAATGAAGACATTTTCTCTGAGCCAACATCCACCACACCATTTGCAGTTCATCGAATTCATACAAAAGACACGGATTCAATTGCTAATCCTCCATATAGATTGTCTCCATCTAGGAAGAATTTTCTTAAGACGGATATCGAGCGGATGTTGAACATAGGTGTCATAGGTGCTTTGCATGTGGCGAAGTTAAATATTTCGGTCGTGTGTTAACACACAAAGGCATAATGACAAATCCTAGCACAGTAGCAGCGATAGGACAAAAAAGAGAACAAATTAACTTCAAGAAACTCATGTCTTTCTTACAAGCCTGTTCGTGGTATCGTCGCTTTATACCATCATTTGCAGTAATCTCAAAACCGCTATCTTCACTTACAAAGAAAATGCAGATTGGAAATGAACATCAGAAGAGCAGAAAACCTTTGATCAACTTAAAAACTTACAGATATCTGTTCCAATTCTCAAGCAAGCTGTGAACGACGAATTGTTTATATTGAAAACCGATGCATGTGGTTATGCACTCGGTGCAGTTCTGCCCCAGGGGAAGGGCACGGAAGAGCATCCCATCGAATATGCAGCAAGTTGCTGAGCGTAGCAGAAGCAAATATTCAACCATCGAGAGAGGGGCATTCGCAATTGTATGGGCCGTGCAGAAGGTCCCAGGTTATGTTGGGGGATCCCAAGTTAAACTAATCACCGATCATCAACTTCTGCAGTGGCTAATGTCAATACATGACGTCTGGCCCGCCGGGCACATCTTCTACAACCGTTCAATATTGAAATCGAGTGCAAGCCAGGAAAAACTAATGTCATTGCGGACGTTTTATCTTGACCTCCTTATCAAGATCGCAAAGAAAAGGAACAGTGTCTTCTCCATTGAAATACCCAGGAAAAACTCCACAGAAAATAAAGATAGTCAGCTCAATGATCCTGAACTGAACAATATCATCGAATGTCTGGCAAACATGAAGAAGATGAAGCCTATTGGTCCAAGTACTATACTGCTATTAGTGATACCAAAGGATTAAAGAATGGAAATACTAAAATTTTATAATAGAAGTGACACTGCCGGTCACTATGGAATACAACGCACTACCCAAAAAATTACATCCCGATATTACTGGCCGAGAATAAGACGTGATGTTGCCAAATATGTGAAGGAATGCGTTGAATGTCAAATATACAAAGTAACAAATGTGAAGCCGGATTTCTTCAGACGGTTTCTAGTAACCAGCGATTTGAGGTAATTGCCATTGATTGGTTTGGACCATTTCCCATTACTGCCAAGGTTTCCAGTGGATTTTCATCAACGAGGACGTCGCCAGCAGATGGGTAGAGCTGTTCCTGTTAGAAGTTGCAACAGCTGAAAATTGTGCAAAATGATAATTGATGAAGTGTGTCTAAGATATGGGATTCCGAGGAAGGTAATTAGCGACAATGGAATTCAATTCATTTCCGCCGTTATACCACAGGTTGTTTACTGTTGTAACATACAACATACATTAACTTCAGTTTGCCATCCCGAATCTAATCCAGTTGAAAGAAAGAACAGGGACCTTAAAGCTCAGTTACCAATTTTGGTTGGAAATGATCATCAGTCCTGGGACGAGAAGATAAAAAGTATACGTTTTGCAATAAACTACGTTTTGTCAAAGTACAGAGTATCTAACAATTGGTCGACAGCTTGGGACCATCGATGATGTGCAACGTGATTTGAAATCCATCATCCAGTGGGAAAATTTCATTCCGGAAATTACACCACACCTCCTCTCGTTGCCCAACGTCCTCAAGGATGTTAAGAAAAATGTGCACCGCCAACAAGACAACAACAAACGAAATAGCAACGTACATAGAAGACCTCAACCAATGCTAGATGTCGGCGGCAAAGTTTTCGTTACAACATATATTTTGAGCAGTAGTGACAATGGATTAACTTCAAAATTTGTTCCGAAACGTGATGGTCCATATACAATCATCGAGCGAAAGGGTACGACCTTTTATGTTATAGCCCACGAAGATGATCCTACATTGCCATTGGGGACTTATCAAGCATCGCCCTTACTCAGGTTGTTGGCGAAGCCAATAAACAAGTTCATCCCGTAAGAATATTACGGCGAAGAGGAAGACCAAAACAGAAGTCATGTTGATGCTACGTCGGGACGTCTTCATCATCCACTATCAATCCGTTACAATATCTAATGTAAAGATACCCTTAGTTATAATGATAATCATAAATAATGCAACCTTGAATTTCATTTAATTTAGTACTACTATAGACAACTAAAGCTGGAAATACATAAAGAGCATATTTGGCTGGCTTAAGTCATCGGCTGGCTTCTTCGGAAATGAACAAAGGAGCCTAGGCCCAAAATCGAATTAAGTCAACCTAAAACTCCTTTGTTCATCTACGAAGAAGCAAGCCGGTGACTTAAGCCAGCCAAATATGCTCTTTATGTATTTCCAGCTTTAGCTATTACGTTGTTAAATATCTGCGTTCTAGACGACAATTTTGCTTCTCAAACATGGAAGCTAAGAAGGAATAAATTTGAAGAAATCACTCATACAGCGATCTCTATTCTAACATGTTACATTGTAACCACAAGATAAGATTGCTGTGAGCGTTAACAGATAATAAAGAAGTACTTATACAGCGATCTCCATTCTAACATGTTACATCGTAACCATCAGATAAGATTGCTGTGAGCGTTAACAAATAAAATACTTGAGTTTTAGTGTGTCTTTATTCATGTACAATTTGCGAAGCAAATCCGTTTCATTGACTCCCATTGCAGAAACCGCGGAAAAAACGTATAAAGTTGTTTCTTAATTTAAATACAATAAATTTTTGATAGGATTTTCCGAAATATTTTCTTATTGTTTTACTTTTACGGTTTGACATAGCTCACCTTAACATTTTGTTTCCGCTCTTGTTTTTTTTCTTTTTTCCGCTTATGGACGCACTGCTCAAAGAATCTTTCGAGTCCGAATCTGACATAGCAAGCCCTTGCGATCCATTTTTATCACGTTCCTCCTAAAATACATGCAGTATATGATAGTATTTGAAAGAGTTGGTAATCTATACTCACTTTTAGGCTCTCCTGAAAACTTGATGCTTGGTACTGTGCATATTTAGCTATAGTTGTATGCGATCTGTGGGAAATGCAGGCCCAAACGCGCTTTGCCTGAGTAGAATCCCAATTTTCGTCAGGAGGTTGGTGGACCTGTGTTCTAACCTCTACGCTATGATCAGGATTCGCTTCAACTAGTGTTTTTGTCGAGAAAAGACCAAGGTCCAATTTCAATGCTCCCGCAAGTCCACGAACCACGGCAATCGGATGTTTCAGACAGAATTCTTGCAATTGAGGACTAAATGCATGTTTTTTATTCTCTAAATGAACTGATGGAGTCGGTGGTAGTAGCTGCTCCCTTGTTAATCGTTGCGGAGGACAATCCGGTGGACATGGGGGTATAGAGTTATTACTTAATATGGAACATGGCGGAGGCGGTTCGTCTAAAGACAAGCTTTTTACTGCCATAGTTATTTGTTGGGAGTCCATTTCTATGTGAAATCCGCTTTTATTTTTGTTATCATTTTCAAAGTCACAAACTTTGTTAATTTCGTCATTTAAAATATCATTTTCGGTTAGAAATTGTACTTTATCAAACTTTAAAGACTTTTCTAGGGACTGATTTATATTTATATCAATCTCTTCCTTTATTTCAATAGTATCTTCGTCGAAAGTTCTCAATATATCATCGGTAAAAGAAGTAGGCAAATCTTTTTGAGATAAAATATCTTGCAATTCTTGATCGCTGACACCTTTGATTATTCAAAATTTTTATTAAGACATTCTCTCAATCTAACTTATCTATCTACTTACCCAGATCGGCTTGGTTAGGAAATGGAGAAACATAATCTTCACACTTCAATTGTTGTGAATCATTATTAAAACCTTGTGAACTTATATCTGGAAACTGTGAATGTTCAATCGAGAGCATACTACTGGAATTCCCTCGCTGTGGGAGCAATTGAAGCTTTTCTGCTGATTTCTGTTGATTATTCAACTGTTTAAGCATTATTTTTTCTTGCTCATTTAAGTGTTCTTCTTTTTGCTGCAGATACTTTAACACTTGCAACTGTTCATTAGATAAAGGTGTTTTATGTGGTTGTGGTCCTAGACGAATTTGAGAACCATCACTGTCTCTTAAGCGTTTTATTGGAGTGTTTGGATATGGCGGTGGCGGTCCCTGTGTCTAAAAAACACATGCTGTTAATGATTTTTTGTTAGATGTCGATTTGTATTTTAGCTGAATAAATACACAAATGAGATAATTGTCAAAAATATTTTCATAAAAAGTTTTGTTTTGTTTTTTTTTTACGTCAGCAAATAACAGACCTATATAACCTATATAATTATAAAGAAACAACCTCAATTGGTTTCATATTGCATGGGTTTATTATTGCTTATTTTAAATTTAATGCTAGTTTTAATGAAATCCATAATGTATAAATAGCAAGCAACAATAAATATTCTCAGCAATTGCCGAGTTAAGAAAGGCTATAGCAAATGTACGAAAAGCTCCATTGGAAAGAAGAACGGTGGAGTTCAACAGCAGAAATTTGAAGGAGATGGAAGCACTCTGGGCGGATATCGATCGCAATGAAAACAAAATTCGAGCGGATCCTGGAGCAGAGTCACATCCCCATATCATCTGTAACGAATACCAAGTCATTGGAGAAAAGTACAGAGCTGCAATCGACAACATCGAGGCAGACATCAAAAGGGGCAAAGAGCAAATGTCTCACAACCCGATTCCCGAAACAAGGGAGGGGTTACAAAAGCAATCCAGCCAGACTGCAACCAGCAGTGTGGCTGCATTAGTGAGACATCAAAGGGCTCTAAGCCACTTTAACAAGGGGCAGTTCAGGTCAACCTGCTCCTATCAGACAGTGGCTATAATTGAGAAATTGTGGTCAAACGTGGAAGACATCCACTTCAACATGTCCGACAATTTTGATGACTTCACGTTGGTGGGGTACGATCACCATGTCTCTTAATTGAAAAGACGTTAACATTAAAGGAAAAAGTCGATTGTACATCATCTCAGCAGAGATCATGCGTGAACTTGACAACTCAAGTTAATCTGCCAAATATTACAATCTTTAAATACAAGGGGATTATTCGAAGTGGCAAAGGTTTACTAACATTTTTGGGAAAATAATAAACGAACAGGCCTTACCAAAGTGCAAAAAATGTGGTATGGAAGAAGCTATTAGTTTAAGCCAATTCTGCATTTCAGCTCACAGATTAATATTGTGTCAGAATGTCTTGTGCAGAGGTTGGGAATGGAAATGGGCTGAAGATCAAGAACCGCATGCTGCTTGACGTCTTGTCCCCCCTGTGAAGGTACCTCCGACAAAAGAAGTACTTTTAATACAAATCAATTCTATATTTTATTATTTTCACATTTTTTGTAAAAAATATAATATAACAATTCAATATAAAATTAAATCAAAGTTATTAATGTATATATTTTTAAATTTCAGTGTTATTCAAGTAAACCAAAAACTGGTTTTAATAATATAAATTTTATATTGTTTGGTAAAGTTCGCTATCCCGTTATTAAAGATGCAGAGCTCAGTTAACAAGATCTGTATTTATTGAAACACGAGAATTTTTCGGGTATGATTTAGTCTAAAACCTTTTTTGTATCTTTGTTTCTAGACTCCACGGTCGCCTCCGATAATATTCCAACGATACCATGGCATATTTTATAATGTCGGGGGCATGTATTAAAATTGTATGTATTATGGGTGGAAGATAGTACAATTGATATCTATTTATTAACTCTTTAGCAGTTTCCAGTGCAAAGACCTTACATTAGGACATAAATATTGTACCCAGAAGACAATTCTTGTAACATTATTGAACACCTCTCAATTACAAATGTATCAATCCCTGTTGTTTCCGCAGTTAAGACTTTGAACAGTCGATAAAAAACAAAAGACTTTCTTTCTTTTCTTGTAGCTTCTGCTACCACTTTATTTGAGTTCTATTCTTACTTATTAATTCAAAGTGCTTATTAGGTGTTCCTGTTCTTTTGCACGTTTATTATTGTATTTCAAAAATATTGATAACTTGCATACGCGTGTTAAATCAAATTATATTTTCCAACATTTTAGCTTGCAAGGTAAATTGCTAAAGTTGCAATTTCTGGGGTCAACAGCATAAGTGTGCTGAATTATATTTCGGAACAAGTAAGCACATAACAAAAAATTACAAAAAAAAAAATAATAATAATAAAGAAACGAGTGGATGAAGAACAGGAAATACACGCGTTATTTAAGAAAGGTAATCATTTAAATTAGGACGCGATGGGGTGATATCGTAACTCCCCATCCGTTAGATTGAAGCTCCGACGAAATTTGGAGAATGGTTGCCCTTCTTTTACAAAATATAGGAATAATAATTAGCAATATAATTAATATTGATATTGTAGAGCTATTTATAGCTATATTAAATATTATATTTATTTCTAAGGTTTTGGTAAAATTATCTTCATATTTTATTTGTTTTATATATAAGTCTTCTAGATTTATTTCATTATATGTTCTATTTTGTTTTATTTCTTTTAACAGAGAAGTTTTTATTATTTTTTCTTTAACTATTATTATTTCATTTTTAAAGGTTAAATTTCCAACATTGATTAAACAATTTTCAAATTTAATTACGAAGTTTTTACATACATTAGTATATCTTCTTTCCGAATAACTAGTACTAGTGAAATTACTAAAGACATTTTTTGGTATAATTATTCCTTCTTTCAATTGCTGTCTTATTTTTTAAAATGCCTAAGAACCAGTTTTATAATATGCGTTTTGCTTATCGTCTATTAAAATTTTATTTTCTCTAACAAATATTGATTTATTTATGTTGTTAGGCATTGGTTCGAGGATTATTTGTTCACAGGATGATTTGGAAAATTGGGGAATGGAGAGGATGATAATAATTTGGTCTTTTTCAAAGGAAACGGCAACTGTTGTGTTAGTATATTTTTCAAAGTCATCTATTATTTCAATTTCTTGTTCGTCGAGTAAGTCTGTTGGTATTATGTCTAGTTTACTAGTAAATATAACTCCTGCGATGTCATCGATATGAATTTTGAGTTAACTTATGTCGTTGTTAATTTGGTAAATGTGTTTAAGAAAATCTATTTCATCTTCTAATGAAGATATCTTATTTTCGATTTCATTGCGGAACTTATTGATGTACGTTTTAACTATATATTGTTGTCTATTAATATGAGTTGTTATATTTTGAATCTGAGTAGAAAGAATTTTACTTATGCGTGTAATGTTTCCCTATCGTTTGTGTTAGCATTAGAAATTGTCGTTAAATTTGTAAGATAGGATCTGATTTCCTGTTCGTCATCGCTGTCCATATTTCCTGTTATAAAATTTCAACGCTTTGCCCAAACCATCAATTAAACCTCGATTAATTCTAAAATTTGGTGATAAATTCCCTGATTTAATTTTCAAAAGATTAAAATTATTTATTGTTGTGTCAAGTAACGGCGTTAACTCAAATATTGAGTCATGTAGTGAATTAATGTCATTCTCTATTCTAATCTCTATGGTACTGTAGTAATCTGTTACATTAATAGTATGATATATTCTTCGGTAATGATCGAATCGATCCTTATGTTGCCGTCTTTAATTGGGATGTATCCTTCGTTCATTGATAAGTCTTGTATTATAACTAATAACAATTGATAATATTCACAATTGAAGTGAGTAGCAAAAGATTTATGTGTACTTTCATCTAAAAATATAATGTAGTAATTATATTATGTTGAAGCCTGTTGCTAGTTAATGTTTTGAAATTTTCTTTTCATATGCGAATTATAGTATTTCAGATTCCTATCTGTTACTACATGGTCGGAGTCCAGTTCGGTCACAATTACTTTTCGAAAGTTTAAATGATTTTTCCCACCACGTTTATCATTTAAATAGACTGGACCTGTTTGGATGTCTACATTCTCACGGGTTTCATTTAGTTTATTTATGATCCTTTCTATAGTTTTCATTATTTTTCCTTTAATCATCGGATATTCATCTTTGCTTATTTTTCCATTTTTAAAATATATTGGTTTTTTATTAGTTGTCGAATGAATCGTATTATTGAAATACATTATGATTCTATACATTTTTTCTTCAACGCTTTCTGTTTCTCGGTTGGGGTCATGTCTTAAAATTCGGATATGTTCGTTGATGGTATTGAGGAGTCTTTCGATGTCTGCATTTGGGGTATGGTTATTATTTGAGGCATAGTGAATTTCAATTTCTTGCTCCCTTAAAAACTCACGAAAGGATATTTCTTTAAATCCTAGTTCAACTGCATATTTTGTATCCTAATAGCTTGGGCATGTTTTGCGAATTTGTCTAAAAATTTAAAAAATAGTGTTTTATCTAAGCTATAGAAGACGTCCGCGTGAATTATTTCTCCGGGTTTATTAGGTGTTTCAGTAACTTAATATTGTTGTTGAATGGGGTTTCTTTCTTATTTTTATTTGTTTCAAACGTCACAATTGTTAATGAATTGTTTTATACGTAACTTTAGTTGTGAGTGATAGATCTCAGTTTTTAGTTCTGCGAAATTTTCATTAATTCCTCTATGGTTATTGTTTAAATGTTCTTTTTCTATTATTTCCGTCAGCTCATTTTCATCTATAATATCCTTAGAAGAAATTTACAACGTATGATTTTAAAATTTTGGTTCTCCCCAAAGTATTTGTCAAACGCTTTTTCCATTTCGTTAAAAACTAATTCATCATTAATAAAAATTGCGTTGGTTTTGTCTGGGTTAAAATGGGTTTTTATACAGTGATTAGAGTATTTTCGTCAAAAGTTTTGGCATAAATTGTCTTCCTGTTATTATTAAAAATCTGTTCGTTTCTTATCTTCAGTGATTCTGACTGTGTTTTATGAATTATAATTTGTCTCCTGTAAAAATTAAGAGGATTAATTAATCTTCATTGAAATTAATTTCTATTCTGGATAATGCATCTGCATTTCCGTCCATAATACCTTTTTCGTAATCATATTCTTGTAAGCGTAGTCTCCATCTAACTAACTTAGAGTTAGGTTCCTTTATGGAAAATACCATTCTCTGATACCACATGCCCGAGAAATTTCGTTTCCCTCTTCATAAATTCGCTTTTATCTAGTTGGATTAACTTCCTTGAGTTTCTGG